CGGACCCTTGGGGCTAGGAGCCTGAAGCCCTGACTGAACTTCAACCCGAAGCGAAGCTTCGGGTTTAGGGTTTAGGGTTTAGGGTTTAGGGTTTAGGGTTTAGGGTTTAGGGTTTAGGGTTTAGGGCGCTCCAAAATGCTGTGTGCACTATAGGGGTCTTAATAATTCGAATAGGGTTTGGGGTATATTCTACTATAACTATAATAAGAAACCCCCTCAAGACCCTATTCTAATTACTAAGGCCCCTGCAGTTTAGTGTTTATGGCTTCATCAGACGTCGCCGGTTCTTTGACAGTCTGTCTTGGCTAAACTGCAGAGCCTTTCTTCTTGATAAAAACGGGTATCCTTTTGCTTTGATTAGGTTGGGTTTAGGGTTTAGGTTGGGTTTAAGGTTTAGGGTTTAGGGTTTAGCGTTTCGGGTTTCGGGTTTGGGGTTTTGGCAGACCCCACCTGGAAATGGCGAAAGGGATACTGAGTCGGTTTTCCCCCTGTAGGCTCTTGGCCAAGACCGGCTTTTGCAAGAATCGGTAACATGCCAGGGGGGATAGGGTTTAGATTTAGGGTTCAACCCTAAACCCTAAACCTTAAATCTATCGAAAGCTGAGACTTAACCCCCTCAGACCACAGAAACCTAAACCCTACACCCCAGCAGCCTTCCTTCGCCTTAAGTCCCAAACCCTGCAGCCGACATAAAATTCCTGGAGAGCCCTTAACCGTTTGGGGTTTAGGGTTTAGGGGTTTGGGTTTGGGTTTAGGATTTAGGGTTTTGGGTTTAGCCCTAAACCCTAAACTTAGGGGTTTATGGTTTCTTAAGACACCCCCTAAGGTCCCAAATCGAAAAGCCAAGGAAGGCAGCCTCCATCTCCAGCACTTCGAGGGCAGCACATCAACGAAGGCTCAGCATTGGGGAGGGGTCTTGCTTAGAGGATCAGGGGACTTAGTAAGTAGGGTTATAAGTAAGGTAACTATAGTTATATCTACTGAAAAACCCTAATTAAAGTACAGATAACCATACTTACTAAGTGCCGTGATCCTTTAAGTGAGGGTGCTCTGAGAGCCCTTAACGATTTAGGGTTTAGGGGTTTGGGTTTAGGATTTAGGGTTTAGGGCTTAGGGGGTTTAGGATTTGAAACGAAGGGTTCTATCAGGGCTCTATGAGGGTTCTAAAGTAATGCTTCTATGGGGTTTACATACAGGGGCCGGAATGAACAGAAAAGGGTTTTGGGATGTGGCAAAACCAAAATTAATATTTATTCTTGGGACAATAGGGACCCGTAATCCCATCACCTTAAATAACCATTGTATAGTCCTTATATACCCCTTATATAGCCAGGTAGTCTCCACATTAACCCCAATAACCTACAAGGGTCCCTATTAAGGGTCCCTCATAAAGCCCCTAGATGAGATCCGTGTATTTCCGCACTTTCGGGCTGGGTTTCGGGTGACGGGTAAAGGCTGTCGTGGTTTCACCGTGCAGGGTCATTGAGGATTTAGCCTTCAGAGTTTATTTTCATCACAGGGTCTTGGCTTGTGTTTCAGGGTTGAAGGTCTAGGGATTAAGGCTTACGTTGTGTTGTGCTTTTAGATGAAACTTGCCAAATCGCGAGAAGATACTGTTTGAATTGAAATACGGTAGGTGTGCTTCGACTGACTTGGGCTTGGGAGAAGAGGGCAAGTGTAAGAATCCAGCTGCAGCCCACTGCCTAAAAACACCAAGGCCGTCAAACCCAATACAGACCCTTGTAGAACCCAGCTGAAACATTTCTGAACTTCAACCCCCCTGCCCAATCCTACAACAAACCCCGAAACCCTAAAACCCCTAAGCCCTAATAGCCCTAAAGCCCGAAAGCCCTAAACCCCAAAAGGAACCTTAAGCCGAGCCTAACAAGTTTGTGTTGCACCGTATATCTCCAGCTCTACACCCTACAACGGAGTCGCCGCCAGGGTTTAGTCTTTGTAGGGTTTAGGGGTTTAGGGTGTAGGGTTTAGGGTTTAGGGGTTTAGGGTTTAGGGGTCAGGGTTTAGGGTTTAGTCTTTAGGGTTTTAGGGTTTAGGTTTCGGGTTTAGGGTTGAGGGTGTAGTGTTTACGGTTTAGGGTGCATAGCTCAGCGTGGCAGAGTTGCTCGCTTTAGAGTTTGTAGGGCTCAGTTTTGAGGCTAAACATTCGACCCTAAACGTAATATATATATATATATATATATATATATGTATATAGGCTCAAATAATTACCAATATTATGTTGGGGTTCTTTATTATAATTATAGTATAATGGGCCCCAAAACCCTATTCTAATCATTAAGGCCCCTACATTAGACACTAAGGAGCCTTGGGTTTTTGTTCTTCTTAGGTTCGCCTGGCTTGGCTTGGCTTGGCTTGGCTTGGCTTGGCTTGGCTTGGCTTGGCTTGGCTTGGCTTGGCTGGGCTTGGCTGGGCTTGGCTGGGCTTAGGCTTGAAAGGCTTGGCTTGAGTGCGGGATGGGGTTCGGGGAGAGGGGGCAGCTTGCCCCCTCCCCCCCCCCCAAACACTTCAATGCATAAACGAGTTGCCGAAACAACCTCCAGCATGCATCATTGTAGCATGTCATGACACCTTGCAGCAGTTCAGGCCGCACTGTCTGATCCGGATAACAAAGCAAAGCACACCGTACGGAGCGCATCCGTCCAGATTTCCAACTACACGGAATACTCCCCCCGCCTTTTCGACAAGTTTGCGTAGAGCCTCGTCGACTTTGACCAAAGCATCTTCCTGCTCCTTCCGGTCTCCAGCCCCATCGAATCACTCGAGACAGGCAGCGAAGACATTACGCAGACGAGAGCATCCTTGCTCTGAGCTGCACTGCGATTCAGCTTGACATCGAGGTTGTTTCTTTCCGCCTTTGCCTCAGCAGCTCACGTTTCCCTGATGCAGGTGTAGTCGAACCAAGCTGAAAAACTCATAGGACTCTGTCGGCGAGAAATCCATCACCGGCCGAAGCATCGATATTCAGAACAAGGTACGTGTTCGACAGCCTGATCGAGCTGCGCAATGTACAACAGCGGCTTAAGGAAATTCGACAGGCACACCTGCCTCCAACAACTCATCCTGACGAGCCGACGCTTTTAGTAAGCGCTCGGAGTGGTTCATCGCGGTCTGCGGGAGGCAACATCACTGCTTTGCCATGCATGACAAAACGAACCCTGCCACCCGACTTAAACATTTCAAGGTCCGATCCTCGCATGAAACTACTTGACGTTGCTCCATCGAGAATGAGCAGTTTGTGTTGTCTGAAGTCTGAAGCTACCCTTCGGAGTGACGTGGGCACGGCTTTTCATACCAGAAGTTCCCAGGTCGGGAAGCGAGGGGCCACTATCCCCTCTTCGCTTGAAGCGTTGGTCGATATGATTGTTCCCAAATCTCTCCCTGGATAACCCGCATGTTTTGTGTTATTTGTTGGGTCTCCCTCGTTGCACTTGCGGAATTTTCAGCACATAGCTACATAATGGACTCATGTTCAATTCAATGTAGCAATGGCGGCACTCTTGCAAACGTACCGAGCTGTTGACATGCCTTACAAGCGCTACTCCTGCCGGCTCACAGATAGCTTGGCCACCACATGCTGTTGTATCGTTCAGGTACATCAGCAATAAAGTCGACGGCAGACAAAGTAGTGGTAGCTGCAGTAGCAGTGCAGCAGTAGTAGCGATCCTGGTAGCAGTAGTAGTAGTAGTAGTAGTAGTAATAGTAGTAGTAGTAGTAGTAGTAGTAGTAGCAACAGTAGCAGTAGCAGTAGCAGTAGCAGTAGCAGTAGCAGTAGCAGTAGCAGTAGCAGTAGCAGTAGCAGTAGCAGTAGCAGTAGCAGTAGTAGTAGTAATAGTAGTAGTAGTAGTAGTAGTAGTAGTAGTAGTAGCAGTAGTAGCAGTAGCAGCAATAGCAGCAGGAGCAGTAGTGGTAGAGCCGTCGTCGTCGTAGTAGTAGTAGTCGTCG